GGAAGGATGGATGGATGGATGGATGGATGGATGGATGGATGGATGGATGGATGGACGGATGGATGGATGGACAGAGGGATGGACAAAGGGATGGACAAAGGGATGGGCAGACAGACAGGCCTGTTGTGGGATGCCTGCAGCCCAGCCTGGTTTTCACACCATTGCCAGTCCGACCCCTGCCTCAGTTTCCCCAGGTGGCCAACACCCCCCAAGAGAAGGCTGATCACCCCGGCCTGGGAAACCTCTTGTGCACCCAGCTCCTGTGGGGGTCCTGCTGTCTCCAGCTCCTTGTCTTGGGGGGAAGGGCTCAGGTTGAATTTAGCCCAAGGGAGGCACCCTGGGACCCACCACCCCTGCACCAGGACCTATGGGTGGCACAGCCTGCTCAGGGCTCAGCTGCAGATGGTGGCAGCAGGACATGTCCCCAGCAGTAGATGACAGCAAGGAGAGACACGTGTTCCTTGGGAAATTGTTTGTTCCTGTCAGCTCGGGTATTTTTGGAGCTTTTCTTTCCTCTGCTCTCCCGGTTTGAAGGCAGCAGCTCAGGAGGGGCCATTGGCCCCAGCTGGTGCATCTGAGTGGGGGGCAGGGGGAGGCTCCCGCACCGGGGGTCCCTGGGCAGCTCTGAGTATGGGCAGGTCCTGGCACCAAATACTGTATGATCATATAATAATATGATATAGAAAATAATACACTATCTAGAATGTAGCATTGAATGTATATAGGCAATATAACATCACAATACAGAGTGATGCTTGTGTCCCCACGTGGTCCTCAGGGCTCCCAACCAGGAGACACCAGTGGATCTTTGGGATTTCAGAGTCTCAGCCAGCCCCCCCTCCCCCGCCCTGTGAATCCCTGCATCCCTGCCTGAAGCAGCAGCTCCCGGAGTCCCGTGATTCCTGGGAACATGGCAGCCAGTGATGCAGCTGGTGACCTTCCCTGGGGCAAAGTCACTGCCAACAGCCACCCAGCGTGTCCCCCTCTGCGTGGGGCAGAGCCAAAGGATCCCCAGTTATTTTCTGAAAGCTGTGCTGGGGCTGAGCCAACGGTTCCCCCCTGCCTCAGTTTCCCCAGAGGTGTCCCCGGGCTAGATGGTTCGTGTCACCACTGCCAGACACACGGAACTGGCAGCAGCCCCCCCGGCCCCCCGGCGCCGGGCCGTGTGTGACACGTCGCTGCAATCAAATCGCTTTTGATATCACTGGGGCTATTTTAATCCCTCCTGGGTCCCGTTGGCCGCCCACCCCACCCCCGGCTGGCACTTGCCTCGGGGAACGCATCCCTGGGTGCTGTGTCATCCCCCGCCCCCCGCGCCTGGTCCCCTCCTGGCAGGCCCCCGGACCCCCCCCG